TCCTGTCCGTCCTGCCCATCCGCGCCCGGGCAGTCCACCTCGCTGTCCCTCCTCCGCTTCTTCGCGTCCGCCATCACGGTTTTGAAAAGCCTGCACACAGCCAATCCTCTGCGACTAACAAAGAGGCGCCGAGGAACCCGGGAGCTCTCCGGCTGCACCGAGGCCCTTTGCAAGAGCGCCCCACACAGGCCTGTCTTTGAAAACAGCGCGGCATCTTGCTCTGCAAGACCACAGCGCCCAGTTCTGATCCTCAATGCCTAATTGCACCAATAACTAAGCTTTTACCCTTTTTTTTTTTAAATGATGTGACGTGAGCACCTCGCATTGCCCATTTACGTCCTCGGCAAGCAGCGACTTGTCCGGATTGATCATTTGTGAAACTGGGCCTTTTCTGTATGCATACGTGACAACCCTATTTTATTGTAACTGCAACTCCGTGTAATTCATGATAAAGGGAAGTGCGCGTCGTGGCGGTTTCCGTCACACGGACAAAAAAAAACCAACAACAAAACAAAAAAGTGTTTGAGATGAGAGTCGGTGATGCATTACGACTAGCAGAAATCAACCACACATTATGTTCTGTAAGTATTTTAGATAAAACCAGCCACTCTTTCCTTCTAAAAATCTGTCGCTTGTCCTCAAAATAAACGACAGCTCTAACGATGCTTGAAAAAGAAAGGTGCAACTCAATAAACTTCAATGTTTATTTCTGTAAACAATGTCACCAGTGATGCCTTTAAGCAAAGGCAGTTTCTGTAACGTACATTCACTCGACACGGATATGTCAATGCCCATATTTAAAACGACAGGAAATAGCCGAACTTAACCTTTACTTGCTCAGCTTATTTCTCCGGCTGTGTACAAGTTCAGCCGTGTCGTGTCGAATTCAGTATACCGTGGAAATCTGTATCCCCTTTCAAAGTGCGCATGTCGTATTGCCTGTAGGAAACGCGCAATTCTCAAATGTCAGGTTTAAGTATTATATTTGCATGTCCAGAACAACAACAAGACTCGCACAAGCACTGTTTGTGCGTAGTAGACGCGCAATTCTGAATGTCAGGTTTACTTAAGTAATACAATTGCGAGAAATGAGGTGTTAATCAGCAATTGCGTCTTCCTATGAATTTTGTCTTCATGTGCATTACACAAACTAACTCCTGGCGAGGAACCGAAATAAATATGAAAAGACAGTTCGTTCCGTTTTTTTTTTCTTTGCCTGCAATATTTTATCGGTAGGCAGAAAAGGTAATCTCAGCCGTGTTATCTGCCCCACAATCGTATCCCCCTTACATATGTCTGTATCCCACAGAAGCCACGCTCTCTCATGCGATACCCTTCTCCCGTCTCCCCAGGAGGTAACTTCCATCACCCGACGGCGTCTCTCGCCAGCAGGGTCGGGCAGATCGGCGGTCTCGGACTTTCTCGTTTAGAGGCGTTTGCCTGCGAGTCCCCGGCTCCTGCCGCATCTCCGCCCGGCTGGGGGGACCCAGGGTTGTGTAGGAGCTCCGGCTCCGAGGGGGAAGGCGTCGCTGTTCCGGAGCAGGGCTGCACCCTGCGAGGGGCGAGGTCGGACAGCCCGTCGACCGCTAGGGAGCGCTGGGAGTCTGGGCAGCTGTGCCGGCCGGAGCTCTGACTGTTGCCGTCGGTTTTACACACCTTCAGCAGGTCTACAATAAAGAGATGATATTTCTTAAACAGAGGAGCATGGCTTCCACACGACCTCCGCATCATACCACTAAACCGTGTGAAATTGTAAGACGGTAATATACACGCAGAAATGTTTTTTTAAAAAGTTCGATGTTTTGGCCAGCAACATCTTAGCAAAGATGTCTTAAATATTTCAGTGTTATCATATTATCGGTAAATGGTTGCTTTAATAAATAATAGTTAATACAATCTTACTTGTACTAGTACGCAACTGGGGGAAAAAATATTTTTATCGTTTGGGTGCTAACACGACATTTTAATGCTAACGGTAGTCTCCCCAGGCTGAATTGTAAACGTAACACGGGAAACGTAAAAAAAAAAAGTAATAATCAAGGTGCACAGTCAATTTCGAGGCGCCGGTTACACCTGCAAGGGGAGAGAATGAACCCGTTTCTACACTCCTCTGACCCCCCCACCCGTCTCGAGCTGCCCAGCGCCGGACAAGAGAGTTAGTGTCAATAGGAGAGGCAGCGTGTCTCTTACTGACGTCACTCCAAGCCTGACGTCACAGGAGCTGCTGGTGCACTACGAGCCCGGGGGGGGGGGGGGGGGTTGGACTTTGGCCAGTTCCCCCCCACCCTGCTCCTGGCGGTGCTCTGATAACTGTGCCGCTGACCACTTAACCTGGTCCCAGCTTGGCCAGTGACACAAGCTCGAACCAGGAACACCTGGACCACGCTGCCCCGCCTCTGTGCCGGGGCCAGTCCCTCGACTGCGGGGCCCCCCCTCTCTCCGTTGGGGAGAGCGCGGCGCTACGCTGACTCACAGCTCAGCACACTCTTGTACACCAGGCCGTAGCCCCTCTCGCGGTCCAGGGTGACGTCAATGTAGTAGTAGAACCGCAGCTCGTCGGGGTACTCGGCGCGCGGCAGCTGGAGCATGATGGGAATGAGCCTCCCGTCGGCCATGGGCGCCTCGGCCAGGGCCTGGTGCACCTGGTACCTGCACCAGGGGTCCCCGAGGAAGCTGCGGGTGATGAGCACGGCCCAGCAGTGACTGCTGCTCACCGCCCGGAAGAGCTCGGTGGGGACGGCGCCCCCCGGGGCCGAATCGCGCCAGTGCAGGAAGCAGCGCAGCGGGGGCTGCCGAGCCTCGAGGTGGGAGACCAGGAGCTGGGCTTCGGAGATGTCGGCCTCGCTGTGGCACACGCACACGTCGTAATCCCGGCTCCACCGGGCGCTGCTCCGCAGGTCCGGCATCGGAGACCAGGAGGAGGACGGGGAAGCCAAGGAGGAGGAGGACGAGCGTGACGCCGCGGGGGGCTCTCTCTCATCTGCCGAGGAGCCTGGAGCAGAGCCTCTCTTTCTGCGGGGGAGGATGCGCCAGAGGCTGACTGGTGGAAAGGAAGAACGCGTTGGGAGAAGCCCTTTTGTGCCGAACCATCCCCAGCCGAGTCAATTATTTCAAGTCGGGAGCGGCGTCAGCGTGCGTAGGCTGCAGAGGAACAAGTCAAGGCTTATTCCAGGCTGAAAAGAGAAGAAAGGAAACACACCGTTTCGACCGTTCGCGAGAAGACACCCGGAGAAGACCCCACAGCCGAAACGTTGTGTTTTTTTTTCCTCTTTTCAGCCTGGAATAAACCTTTACTTGTTCCTAAATTCTTTAAAGCTCAGTCCAGCAGGAAGTGGGGGGATCAGCTGGGGTCCTGCCCTTTAAAGATCTCCTTCAAATGGCTTGATCCTCATTCGTGACAGATGGTGACAGCAATGGGAACCCCTGTGCATAAAATGTGAGAATTGTTGGAAGTCTGCACATTTGAATGCTAAATGATGAAGTGGGTGCCTGCCCATCAAAACTGTCTATTGATATTGCTGCTCATGGATGAAAGACTAAAACTGTATTCTGTGGATAAGAAATACCAGGCAGTGATAGAATGAGCATACGTGTGACTTACAGGACATGCTTCCAGTGGGAGACGTCTGTATGTTGTTAATTGTTCCTGCAAGACAGATGCAGAGAGAAATTAAAGGTCTCCTAGCAGGGGCCCGTAACTCTCACCAGCCCAAGTGTACAGTACAATTACCTGCTCCCTGCTCACACACTAGAAACAGAAGTGGACTACTAAGCTTTCTTCATTAATAAGCACTTGTACTGGATTTTATATCACATAATACAAAGAAGGGAGAAAAGGTATCCAAAAAAAGATAAACGGCGGTTGCTACAAATCAGACCTCTCAGTTCACATACATATTTTGCTTTGATACTTTTCAAATGTTCAAGCAATATCAATAAGCGCTTTGAGTGGAGTGTCCAGAAAAGCGCTATATAAGTGTAAGCAATTATTACTATTATTATATTGCATTTCCATCTTATTAAAGTAGGGAGTAACGTTAGACCATTGTTTTCTACATAGGATATCGAGGCAATATTACCAACGGATCGAGTATACCCGACTGTTGCTTTCAGAACTATATCTCCTCGTGACGTGTCAGTTTTTTCCTGCAGGATTCCTTCTGCCTTTTTTTTTTAGATCCGTTACAATTAAAAATCATACTTTTGCTTTTTTTTTCTCTCTCGCCTTCCGACGCCTCATACCAAAATTGAGGTTCATGAAGTCTCCGACTTCCAGAACTTAACATTTTGTATTTTAAAAAGAGTCGTGTGATGACAGGGACTAGAACCCTCAGCACACCTATTGCCTGCTGGTACCGAAAACGTATTGGAGTTTCCCCCCCAGTTTCTTCCCATATTAAAATGCTGCTAAAGTACAAAAAACGAGAAGATGAGGGTTCACAGCACAAGCAACTCACCGCGTTGAAAACTCTACCTGTGACCGAATCATGAGCAATGCAAACCGAGATTTCGGGACTGTCGACGTTTATACTTCCCCTAGCAGCCTGCAAAGTTTACTTCCTGTTGTGTTTAGCAAATGAAATAACAGTGCCGAGACGGGCATTGAGCCCCTTTTGCTTCCTTCCGCAAAACAGTTCAACAGGGGCCCCAGCCAACCGAAAACACACTGTAAATGAGTCTTAATGTCATCTGCTGCTTTCATTTCACTCATCGTGGGGAGCCGCAGAATTCTCTTGTCAATAACCCCCTCACACACACAGTATCGTCGCTTGTGCACCCTCAAGCGTCTCTCGCCTGCTTCTAAACCTCAGCGATTGATCGCATCGAACCGGCACCACGTGTGCATGCATGTAGTGTACATATGAGATGGGCACCGAATTGAGCGCTTTAATTGGCTCTTGGAAGTTTCTGTCTCGCTCTTCTGACGTCATGGGTTGCGGTGAGTTTTGTAACACTGTTCAGGCTGCAGGATGCTGGTTAAGTAATTTGCAAGTCGGTGCACAAGAAGAAGGAAACGTCAAGCAAATGAACAATTCTACCGTGTTTTCACGGGCAGGTTTTTTTTTTTTGAATGATAATCTTCGAACCTCAATCTTTAAAGTGAAATCTGGGAATTAGTACTGGTATATGGACTCTCTGACTGGATTTGGCTGGAAGCATTTGCCAGGTTTGCCATTTAATTATATTTAAATATTAAAATGGTTGCTTTATTAAATCTTGACCATTTTCTTTGTATCAACTCTTTTTTTTTGCACTTTCACGGTCCTGTAATCTGCCGGTTCCTCCACGCACGGTTTAAAAAAAAGTGCCCTGTTTTCTGTCATGCTTGTGTAATTACTGCGTTACACAACGCGTGTAGCTCCAAAAAAACAACAAACAATTTTCAAGTAAATCAGGCATGCACCCGTTTTCCTTGCTTTGTACAAAGATCTACAAAATAAAGATGTGTATGAAATCACTATGGAACATGGTTTTTTTCAAAATAATTAGATGTACTCCAAAAGGTTTCTGACAATAATGTCCCGGCTCTTGGCTGTAACATTCATAGGAATACGTAAGGTATTGTTTTAAAGATTACTTTATTTTCTATCATTTTTTAATTCGGTTCGTATTTCGTTTCATATACTTTAATACTTGTTACTATAGGTTTCACCCATGCATGACGCCCTGCTCCAGTCTGCACACTGGAGTGACTGTGTTGTGCTCCCACTAGAGTATAGAGCACTGTGCTGGCCTCATCCATAAGGCTGTGTCAGTGGAGTGCTGGGACTGTAATTTTCCCACGTGTAGTTTTAACCTTGGGCGCAGTGGTCACAGTGGCACTGCTGTCTGGCAGCACTGGGACCCTGTGTTCAATCCTGGACTTGGCGTGCTGTCTGTATGGAAATGTGTACTTTCTCCCTGCGTTCGAGTGGGTCTCGCAGCTCAGAGACACACTGGTAGGTCATTTGGCTTCTAGGAAAATTGTCCCTGTTGTGAGTGTGTAGCTGCTCTGCAGTGGACTGGCGTTCCAGCCAGGGTGTGCCCTGTCTTGCGCCTGTTGCTAGGCAGAATAGGCTCCGACTCCCCCACTACCCTTAACCAGAGGAAGCGGTCTGGAAGGTGGATGGATGGATGTCTTAACCTCTGTGCTCCCGGTCTGCCTCGCGCTAATTACCAGCAGTGTCCTTCACCCAGGCGCCAGGCCCATGATGCACCGCTCCATCCACTGGTTCCGCAAGGGGCTCCGTCTCCACGACAACCCGGCTCTGCTGGCCTCGCTGCGGGACTGCGCCGAGCTCTGGCCCGTCTTCCTCCTGGACCCCTGGTTCCCCAAGAACGCGCGGGTGAGCGTCAACCGCTGGCGGTTTCTCCTCCGGGCTCTCCAGGACCTCGACGGTAACCTGAGGAAGCTCGGCTCCAGGTGAGAGGGGAGCTGGATCGGCCTGCTAAACAGAGATGGGTGCCCATGTGACCGTCGCGGTTCTGCGCGGGCTCGTGCCCTCTGCCACTCCACCCCACTTCGTCCCGCAACACCTGGGGCGCGAACCTGGGTCTCCGGCGTAATGCAATAGGGAACCAGCTGCAGGGCTCCCCCAGCCCAGGCAGCTGAGGTCCCTGCTACGCGCAGGGAGGGCGATGATGTCACCGTGTCCGAACTTGCTCCGCTACACCCTGTGTGGGCCCTTCTGTTCCTCCCCACAGTGGCATGTCCATCCTTTTCTTTAGTGACTCGATTCAGGAGTGCCCAGTCCTGCTCCAAAGTGGCCTGTTTGCAGATTTCCATTCTAACTTGGTTCTTTATAAAATCAATCAGCTCATTATTGGAATAATTGAACCCATTAGACACTTTTTCCCAGCTCTTCAGGTGCTGCAGCTTGGACAAGACCTAGAAAACCTGCAGACAGTCCTCTGCCAGGATCAGTGTTAAACACCCCTGACTTAATTCTTCCTGCTGTTGAAGATCGCCCACATTATTCAGTTAACGGGTGGGGAGGAAGACTTGGTATTGAAGTGTTGCAATGGTATATGAAGGGACGCACTTGAGGGTGACCTGCGGTCCTGTTTCATCAGGCTGTTTGTGGTGCGGGGGTCACCGGCCGAGGTCTTCCCTCGCCTCTTCGAGCAGTGGAAGGTGACCCGGCTGACCTTCGAGGTGGACACGGAGCCCTACGCCCGGCAGCGAGACGCCCAGGTGGGGAAGATCGCGGAGGAGCATGGCGTGGAAGTCATCCAGAAGGTCTCCCACACGCTGTACGACACGGAGAGGTACTGCGGCCATCCACCCGGGGCTTGATCCCCGGTCTTGTCTCCGAAAAACGGCGAGGAAGGCTCTCGCATATCGGGGTCCACCAGGGCTCACGTGGCTCCAAGGGTTTCACGGCCAGGCAAAAAAATCGATGAAGGCTTGTCTGTGGATCACAGATTTAAAGATTGCATTGTGGGTAATCTACACTGTCGCAAAGGTCAGGAGTTATTCCTCCTGGGTGTCTATAACATGTTGGTACCTCTGCTCAAAGCCTTATAAAATGTGAAAAATGGTTGTCTCCCATTCTTCTCGTACCAGGATATTAGTGGAGAACAATGGGAAAGCTCCTCTGACGTATAACCGGCTGCAGGCTCTGCTGAAAACCCTCGGTGCGCCCAAAAGACCCGTACCACCGCCGACGGCCGAGGACATGAAAGGTATCGAGCGTTCGTTGGCAGTTTGGGATAGCACAGGCCGCTTCTGGACCTGCGGGTTTATCATCCTCAAGCTTCACGGAAAGTGTGCGCAGCCTTCTTCACTTTGATGAACTGCTTGTTGTGGAGAAGGTGTGAGTTAGGCGGTCTGGCCCTGCCCCGCCCTCAAAGCCCATCTATTCTCTAACATCCAGTACAGACCTGCGGGGGAGCTGGAGCCTATCCCAGCAGGCAGCAGGCGCAAGGTAGGGCGCTCCCTGGATGAAACGCCGGTTTGTTGCATGGCCCCCGCAGAAACAAACTCGGACACACCCTCACGCCAGCACCAAATTCCCCAGAAGCCAGCTAACCTCCCGGCATGTCTTTGGACTGTGGGAGGAAACCGGAGCACCTGGAGGGAGCCCACATGAACATAGGAAGAACATACAAACTCCACACAGACAGCACCCCAAGAGCTGAACCCAAGGCCCCAGTGCCACCGTGCCTCAATGCCCATTTTTAAAATCAATGACATTTTCCATGAATATTCATTCAAAAATGTAGACTAGACAGGAGGTGATTGCACAGTGAGTTACCTCACACGTACCATAACCCCTTCATTGCATAGTGCAACATTTCCTACTAACTGTACCTACACGTGTCTGTAGTCATCCAGTTTACTGCGTCTTTTTAGTACGTGCACCCAAGAACGGGGATTTTGCTCCCTTTGATATTCTCCCCCCAAAAACTCCCCCACAGGTGTGTGCACCCCCTGTTCGGAGAGGCATGATGAGGAGTTTGGGGTCCCCACCCTGGAGGAGCTGGGGCAGGATCCCCGGACTGCTGGTCCTGAATTGTACCCCGGTGGTGAGACGGAGGCTCTGTCCCGGCTGGACCGACACATGCAGAGAACGGTACCTGTCGCGCGTCCAGGGCAGGGTGGACATGTGTGTTGTAAAAGGCTCCCTTTAAGCTGTACTTAAACAATGAAGGAGGCAGAGAGAATCAATTGGTTAAGCCTCACATCCAGAGTATTTTTATTTCTTGTGAAGCTCCGTTGATAACACGAACAAGTTTTTGGTTGGGTCTTGAATTCACCTGAATTGTCTGCTTTCCCAGGCATGGGTGTGTGGCTTCCAGAAGCCCAACACGGAGCCGAACGCCCTCAGCCCCAGCACCACCGTGCTCAGCCCCTACCTGAAGTTCGGCTGCCTGTCGGCGCGCACGTTTTGGTGGAGACTGACCGACGTGTACCGCGGGGTGAGGGTCTGCC